GTTATTCTGCTGCACATACTTTTACCATTGAAAATTTAAGTAGGCTATCTATAGCTGACAATACCTCTGTACTACTTAAATAATATTTTGAGTGCAGGACTTTTACTTAACAGTAACAGTAGTTTTACATTGGTGCATTACCAGTTATACTGAAGAAAAAGATCTACTTCTTCCAGCGGATATCCCAAACAAAGCTCTTCTTTCTGGCTTTAAATGTCAATTTCCCGGCCTCTTTTCCCCTCTGTGTCATAAAAAATGACTGAAAACTGTGACAAATTTGTCGCTGCCCCCTCTGCATTACAACAGAGTGAACAACCATGCCATGCCCTGGGAAGTAAACATAAGGGGCGGGTGTACAGACTCCGCATGGGCACCTCTGCAGATCAAATTTCCTGCAGCCGTACGTGGCAAACCACTGAGAGCAGAGACCTCCAGTGTGGCCTTTTCGGATAAAACACTCAAAACGGTTATCACATGTGTAAGTCAAAGTACCGTTAATAACCCCATCAATTTCAACCCCGCCCCTTTCAGCTGTCAATCATTGCTCCACATGTCACCTCTGCGCGCATCATTCACAGAAGTTTTCTCACAGTTTTTTTCTCTGTGTCTGAATAATTTGCGGTAACGACACAAAAGAGCCTGGTCAGTTCAGTCGGGACACCAGGGGCGGTTTCTTAAACACAGAGGCAAACGTGAAATCTGATCTGACCACAGAGTTCCTCTGTCCGAAACTACACCGCTGACAGACGAGGTTTTCACAGACAGCTTCTGACAGACAGAAATGAGAAATAAAAGAATAAAAACTCTCCTACTTTGATGACTTTCTCGTCAGCCGGTGTTCCGAGTAACTTACTTTGGTGCCTTTCATCCAGACTGTGCGCTTTTCGGACGTTTTTCACTTCACCGCTCCCATTTTTCCAGACCCCCGCAGCGCCGCTGTGTCCCGGTGGTTATCCTGCCGGCTGGTCTACATGAGCTCCGCAGATCCCTCTGTGTGTCTGTTCCAACGCAATAAACTGCCAGGAGCTGGAAACACTAGGGCATACTCGTCTGTTCCCATCCTATAAAGTCCTGCCTGGTAGACTCGGCTCGTTTTACCACTGTCAAACTCGCCGGTGTACAAAATGAGAGAACTTCCCATCGATGATTTCCAAAACAAAACGCTTCAAATGCGACGTCAGGGTCTGTTACGAGTTTCACTCCAAGTCTAAGCAGATATTTGCGCTAAATATATCCCGTTGTTATATATTTTGTAGTTCTGTTCATGTTACCAGTTTTTTCATTGTGTTGCCTAGGCTACTGTTGTGTAGCCATGGTGTTTTTAATGTCATACAGGACAGAGTGAAATGAATCACTTCAGCCTATTGACTTAGCTAAACCACAACGATGAGTTAAACGTTCATAAAAAATAAAATAAAAAATCCCCGTTTTTTTCTTTCATTCTTTCTTTGCTCATTCTTTTTTTTGTTTATTGTTTGTTTGTGTAATTTTACATTTAACACACACATCATAGACTTTATGGCACACACATAACTGAAAATAATAGAACTTAAACCGTCACCGTCTGATAAGCAATATTTTTCTAACTAGAGAATCTCAACTTTCTTCCTTGACCAACATTGTGCTTTTATTTTTAAAGGCTCACACGTGTGACTTCCGGGCTCTGTCTGCTCTCTCAGGTGGATTTGACTCTACTCATCGGCGCGCAGTGGAGTCGCAGCAAACTCAAACCCACTCGAAAACAAAAGCTGAAACACAGTGTTGCGCAACAAGGCGTCGGTTTGTTTCATTTGGCCATAAGTTTGCATTTTGATGTAACTGATAAAATAAATTATGTGAACGGAAACAGACGTTTCCTGTTACTGCCTACTCAGCAGAGCTGCACTGAGTCTTTAAAATCTTGCAGACAGAGCCTGTATAGGTTTATATGAAGTAATTTAAAAATATTTTACTTAGTAATATGCCATTACAGTGTGTATGCAGGAAATATTAGTTTAAAAATCGTTTCCTTACACTAATCTAGACAAGAGACCCTGACAACAACTTTAACAGGATAACTCCTGCACATACTGCTGCACAGCAGACCAAAATAGATCTGTGTAGACATTAGGTTGCATCATGTTAGATCAGACATTGTAACAATTTCTCTAAAAGGAGGGTCAGACACACACGTGATGAATTATGGTGAACATCTGTCGCTGCTCACACAATGCTGAGGGGCCTCCACTCTTCATCTGCGACCTTGGCCATTGTTTTCCTCATGAGAGCATGACAGCATGACAGCATCACAGCACACACCCATACAGTACAACACACATATGCACTCTCAAGAGTCCACACAAATTAAGGCCACAGTTTTGTTTTGTTTTTAAAAAAGAGCAAAGATTATTGTGTTCATGTAGCTACTTGTAGGCTACACACAGTCAGACACACACACATACACACAACCCACTTGCATGTTGCAGTGTCTGGGAATCTTCAAGGCTGTAAAGATAAGATAGGGGCTCAGACAGGCAGAATGCAGAGTATAATATCGGTATGTAAAAGGAACAACAACAAAAAAACTGTGAATGAAAACCCAACATATGTTAATGAAAATATCTTAACTAAAGCAAACACAACCATGGTGGTACTTTAATTATCTACACATCAATTACATTCAATTCCTGTTATAACATTCTTCCTTGTTAAGGGACAAGGAAGAATGTTACAAAAATATCCCTATTTAATCTAGGTTGAAAGTAGATTTGTGCAACTTTTTATCATCCAAAAAGATAATGAGTCCATGACAAATCAAGTCTACTCTCTTTATCAAGGTGCAAAATAGAGAAGGCTAAGCGTCACTGCACACTCTGTGTCCACTAGATGGCACCAGAACTAAAGCCATTCTCTAATAAATTTACTGTGTGCGGCTGCATTGTGAAGGATCATGAAGGAGCTCAAATAAACCAGCTCACTTGACATGACAGCTTCCACTGAAAGTAGAGGAAAATAAAAGAAAAAATGTTGGAAGACACAAGTGGACAGTGTGGCTGCTATATTACAGTGGAATCAGCACAGTCTGGCTTAGTTTTGACCACGAGGCCTGAGATTTGTATTGATCCTGCACAAATCTTGTTGAGTATGTACTGTATGTAGTCCAAAAGTGACAGTGAGAGGCCATACGATCTGAGCCATAAGTATTTTAACTTACACTCTTGCTCATGATATGTGATATAGGCTAGGTCTACTCTCACTTAAAACCATACCCCTAATTGAATATAGTCAATTGTATCTTATTTTTTAAGTTTTTGAGATCCATACTTCATAAGGTTAAACCACCTCAGTCATTATTTTAGCATCAACAACATTTGGGCATTGCTTTGTGCTATTAAGCGGGCTTTCTCAATGCACACTTCACCATAACATCAGTATAAAAATTGAAAGGAACTTAATCCTTAACTTACTTAAGGAAAATATTCTGTGCTTGGTGTCTCCATTTACCTTTCACTGGTGCATTTTTTTCCATCCATCTCCTCACTGATCCTATTTTATCTGCCCAAAGACATATTTAATCATTTATCTCCTTTTCTGCCGATACAGAATTTCTAATTTACCTCCTAGCTCCTATGCAGTATAATGTGAGAGATGTGTCTTTGAAGTATTTTTATATCTTTCTTTTTTTCTTTTTTTTTTTGGCTTGTAAAGAATATCTATGTTTCCTTCCACAGTATCCCATACAGAGTGCAGAGCTCGTCTCAGGAGCTGCATCCAATGTGTTGTGTTCACTACTCACTGGGTGGACATTACGCTGAGTCGCCATTTCTGTCCTCTATTCCTGGATGCAGGACAGCGGTGTCAAGGTGTTACGTTTAAGAGGCTCATCAGCTTATGTGGGATATGGGTCAACAAAGGTGGAATCACTTTCCAACTCCTTGTGCATTTAATGCAATCTAATATTCCTGTAACTATGGATTCTATTGTATTGTGTAAAGTTTTTATAATGTTCCTTTATTGCCTCATTGTCTTTAGTAGTCAGTGGTCTGGATTGAGTTTGGAGGAAAAAGGTTTTTGGCATGATATTTAATATCCTCCAAACACACAGACGCACGTACGCACACATGCACACACACACACACACACACACACACACACACACACACACACACACACACACACACACACAGCTGCAGCCTGATGTTGGTTGAACTAGTCACTCCATAGCTTCTGAACAGATGAACTCTTGAGCATAAGCTCACACCTAACCCTTATGTGGCCATTACAATTTATGATAAGTTATGATCCTTTGATGATCTGCAAGATTATACGAGAGTCTCCATTAACTAAATTAAAACAAGTTTGTGTGGCTAACAATCGCCTTCTTTTTATTCTAACCTTCCACTGCATGGTCTCACATGGTTTTTTCAAGTCATCCATCCTGCTATATTTTGTCTTCCACACTGTCATCCAAGGGCTTGATGTTGTGGCAACCAGCTGTTCTTGGAGTCATTTGCCAGCCAGGCTGTTTCACCAGTGGAGTCTTCTGAGAAAGAGCTGAAAAGACTGACGCAGGTGAAACGCAGCAGAACTCAGGGGACCCACAGGGAGAGCCCTTCGTTATCTTTAATGACTGCCACTCCACTAGGGTTCAAATTCATTTGATCTGTGGGACCTGGTGTACTGCAGGTGTATTAGACCAATTAAAGCACGGTTCAGGTGTCTCTGTGCAATATGGCTGAAGTGTCTCCATGGCTAGAAAAACGTGTGCATACAAAATATTTATCTCTAGTGATATAGAGGTCTAGGCTATAATGTTGTAATTTTTAGAGAAGTAAGTTAATTGACTGGGAAAGGCCTTATTGCTTCTCCAGCATGAATGATAACAAGGCTTTTAGAACAGACTAAGGCCTGTTGTCAATCCTCTTATATTGTACCTCACTGGAAATGGATTAGAGAGTAACACCTACGTTTTGCCCCAGGTCACTTTGGAGGGACTTCATTGAATGGGCCTGTAGCTGACACTGGCCTCCTATATTTATAATACATCAAATACTTTCCCATTTTTATTGATCAGAAACATATTTTGAGGGAGGACGGCTCATTTTTCGACCGAGTTTTTTGCCACTTCGATTTGGATTTTTTTTTTTTTTAAATACATATGACAGACAGAAAACCTGAGGGCCGGGGGTGTTTTTTCCCTCGTTCAGATATGCTCCCTGTGAACAGAGGTGTTTGTGGAAACGCGCAGGAGCCTTCAGAGGCGCTGACTGCGGGGCGTAAGTAGCTCTCCAGGGTGCTGAAGTTGTCTCCAAACGCGACAGACGCGAGCCCTGCCTGTCACTCTCAGCCCCGTAATCCAAACACAATGACTTTGCTGTGTCTTCGCATGAGCGACGCCGTGAATCCTCGGGGTGAATAGGTAAGGTTTTTGGGATGGTTAGGTGAGGGTTTATGTGGAGACGGAGAAGCAGACCCGAGAGGACACCTGTGAGATTGTCTCACCGGACATTGAAGCTGTCCTGATGGCATCAAAGACATGGTAAGTTACTTCAATTTGGCCATATGGCTCATAATTTTATTCTGAAACTATTTATTCCCAGAACATTTATTTCCATCTGTCTTGCAGGTGTCACTGGTCTAATTGATAATAAATAAAGTGAACGCAAAGATTCACTTCACCTTGGACATCCTGGAAGGAAAATGCAACATATTCCTCCAAATTTCAGAGGGACGCTATGGGAGTCCAATCATCCATATATCCCCATCATTAAAAGTCGACCAACTCTAACCACACTGCCCTTCTATAACTTTCTATTATGGGTCCTCCTCGGAGTGTTGACGTTCCCTTGTTGTGTCCGATGTTTGATTTTCAAAGTGGGGGTCTTGGGGCCTTGGAACTGCGACCCTGTGTACTACAGAGCGCTGCCTGCTGCGGCCGCCAGGCTCGCTGTCAGCAGGATAAACGGAGACCTGAACCTGGATCTGGGCCTGAAAATGGACTTTATCATCCTCCAGGAGCCCTGTGAAACATCCAAAGCTCTCACCGCCTTTATTTATTATGAGAAGATGGCGGATGCGTTTTTGGGCCCCACCAACCCCGGATACTGTATTGCAGCTTCTTTGCTGGCCAAGAACTGGGATAAGGCCGTCTTCTCCTACGGCTGTGTTAACTATGAGCTCGTCCGCACCACAGGATACCCAACTTTCGCCAGAACAGTACCGTTCCCCACTGAGGTGTTGTTCACCGTATTGAAACACTTTAGGTGGGCCAGTCTTGTGGTGGTCTCATCCAATGAGGATATTTGGGTGGATACTGCTGGGAGATTGGCCACTGCTCTAAGGAATAAGGGGCTTCCCGTTCGCCTGGTTACACCTATTGGTATTAATGAGACAGAGGTGGAGAACACACTGAGGAAGATCCAAGCTGCAGGAGAGATCAGAGGTGAGGACCTGGGTTCATGTATGTGTTAAAGTGAGCGATAATCATGAAGTAGAATAAAGTCGCATTGAATCTAGTTCTGAAATAGGGGATTTATAGAAATAAATGACCTGTAATATAAGAACATGGGGAGCAGATATTACATCACAGGTGAACGAGTGCAAAATGTCAAACAATCAGCTCTCCTGATTTGCTCCACAAGAATATTCTCTTATCCCAGCGGTACACACCCTCTTCAGTAAGCTCAGCCATCTGACGAGGAAGCCATCTTGACTCTGTAAATTTAACCTTGTGGTTAAGGTGAGCTGGGACAGCAACTTAATTTATCAGTGTCTTAATCCTACAGGCCGCCCTCTCATTTTGTAAATCATTTGAACAAGTGGTTTAGTTGGAGCCATCAGCCAGTTTGCATCCAATTGAACTGAGTTTATAAATAAGATAAATAAGTCTTTCTGATCATATGATAAACATTTTGAGTAGGTATTGCAGTCACTCCACTAGAGGGGGGCACTGGAGTACTTTTTACTAGAGTGTATTTGTTCATACTAGTCACTTGCTCACACATTCAATCATTATAATACTGAAGTCAGAGGTCATATATCATATCATCATATATCACTTTACATGAGCCACTTTGTAAAAATCAAATACTTTATTGTGTGTTTTTTTCCTTGTCTGTTTCAGCCATAATCATGTGCATGCACTCAATCCTGATTGGAGGTGAGCAGCAGGCTACTTTCCTTCTCAAAGCACGGGAAATGGGTCTGACCTCGGGGAAGTATGTGTTTGTTCCCTACGACACTCTCTACTACAGCATGCCCTACACCAACGTCTCCTACGTTCCCTTGCAAAACAACAGCAGGCTAAGGGAGGCCTATGATGCTGTGCTCACTATCACTGTGGCCTCTGAGCCTTTGTCTTTCAACGAGGCGTTCACTGCCGCCAAGAGGAGTGAGGAACTGACGCTGGCCGTGCAGGCAGAGCAGGTAGGAACTTTTAGGATGATACACTAGGGAGTTAAAGGATAGGGTCCCACTTTTTAAAGTCTGTCTTAACACTATTCACATGCCCATTTTTACACTGAAAAACTTAATAGTCGCTGAAGTGATCCATTCCTAGTATCAATGGAAGGGATAGGGAGCAAAAATCCACATCCTCAATACATGCAAAATGTGTTCAAGAGTCATTGTGAATTAGAGAAATCAAATAGGTCACTTCCAAAGTCAGTCTTTATTAGTATGAAAGTCCATCTTTTTGTTATTCCTCTGCTGTAGTTCTATAAGAAAGCACAGTCCAGGGATTTATTATTTTGTGCATTTTATAATGAATATCAGTGTTACATGCCCTTTAATTAGCAAAAAGTGAGTGGGTTTCCTGTTGCCTTTCTTCCCCCCATATACCCCATGGAGTCTTTCCAAGGATATCTCTCATTTGAACTCATGTTTATCATACGATAAACATCCCATACGTAGTATTTTTGCCTGCATTTTCAATTGCTAACTCTCTTTGTCAGAAACATTCATTTTTAGTGATATAATATAGTAACACATCATGTCTTCTCTTGTGCCCCAACCAACAACCCTTGATCATCCTTGCAGGTTAACCCCCTGTTTGGGACCATCTATAACAGTATCTACCTCCTGGCTAAGTCCATCCACAATGCCAGGAGAGCAGGCATGCAGCTGTCAGGTTCGAACCTGGCCTACTTCACAAAGAACACAACCTTTAGCGGTTTCAACCAAAAGGTCAAGGTGGACACTGCTAGGGAAATCAAGACAAACTATGTCATCCTGGACACTGACAACAGTGGGAGCCAGCTGTACCAGACTTATATCGTGGATCTGACGTCCGGAGAGCTTAGTTTTGCAGGGAGGTCCATTAATTTTCCAGGAGGAACCCCTCCACCGTCTGATTCCAAATGCTGGTTTGAAAAGAATGCCATCTGCTCAGGAGGTACGATATTTCAGTTTGGCATGTGTATACAGTCTGTTGTGTTTACTCAAGTCTTCACAGTTTTATGGCATGTATTTCATACATTTTGTCATTTATTCCTCAACCATAATTACCCACACAATCGAGTTACCTGTTGTCGTCCTCAGGTGTGGAGGTCGTCTATATCGTAGTGGTCTTGGCTGTCATCTTGACTCTGGCTGTAGGAGGGCTCGGTATAAGTCTTTATATCAGGTACAGCCTGTAAATACAAACTGGTTCATGTTATGTAGAATTATACAGATGAGGCCTTGTGTTTCTCTTCCATTCTTTCTGCCTCCATCTTTCCTACCATTTCTCTCATACTCATTGCTGTGATTTGCACAATGATAGATTTTCTGTGTAAAGGCTCGAGAATAATAAAGGACGATTGAAGGGACAGCCCCCTAAAGCCTTAGCAACTTAAATACAGTCAGCCACATTTTTGAGTTTTGGGAGTTTGACTCTGGCTAACATTTCAGACAAACCAAGTGAGGATTTCAATTAGTTATTTAAAAACCACACTATTGATCATCTTGACCTATGGCAATAAGTCAAAGAAACCTAAAATGTCCTTGAAATTACTGCATGCTGTGACTTTACAGATATCAAAAATCCTGATTCTTCTTATGTATCTTCCAACCTCACGAATACACACTAACACTGGACTAAAAGTAATTCTCCTACAAGGATTTCTTTGCTCCAAAGACGATCTCCAAGACAGTTTTTTATCTTTTCTAAATCTCATTGACAGGCGGCGACTTCAACAGATCCAGCTGATCAAAGGTCCCAATCGGATCTTGCTTACCTTGGAGGATCTCACTTTTATCAACCCCCAGCTTAGCAAAAAGGTAATCAGCCTCACTGTATCCTAGTCTCCAATATGAAATTAAACTTTAACTACTCTATTGACCACAATTTTATCTGCATTCCTTGGACATGACACACTGAATGTTTCAGGATACAACTGATTTCTATTAAATCTTCCCCTGGTGTTTGATGTCCCACAGAAAATCACTTTGGAGGATCTGAGCGAGTCTAAGAGCGCTCTGGAGGAGAAATCTGCAGACCGCTCACACTCTGTAAACAGCATGCAGACAGCTACTCATGAGACCACAAATGTAGCCGTGTATGAGGTAGGTTACACTGCAATATTGAGTCATTGCACTTGTTACTTCAACCTGTACTGCAAAACAATATTAAAAAATGTAATTAAAAATAAATTGATAAGTATCTGTTGAGGGACTGAAGGGTGTCCTTGTGAAGCACAATGTCATGTAAGGTTAAACCTTTTGGTTAAAGGGGGAGTAGAGTCAGTTGTTCTGGTTAAAGTTCAGATAAGGTGTTGTTCACGTTTTTGTTCTTTCTAATTAAATCACTTTCACTTGTTTTGTATAAACATGTATCCTGTAAGATTTGTAATCTGGAATTACTGCAATACCTCCACACAATACCTACAAACATCTCCAAGATTCTCAGTCATCCAGGTCATGCTTATCCAAGAAAAGTAAAATTGAGGGCAACTGGACTTGGTTGTAGATAGTTAAAGACTTCTCACCTCTTATCCAAGAGGCTTCTTCAGTTCTGATTTACTGGTGAAGTTTCTTCAGAACTGTAGAAGCCTCTTGGATGAGAGGTGAAATGTCTTCACGTATCTACAACCAAGTCCAGTTGCTCTCGATTCAACTTTACTTGCATTGTTCATTATCACAACAATGGTATATTGCCACATTTTGAAGGAAAAAAGAAAACACACAGTCTTTAAGGAAGTAAACCCTTCCATTTTTTATCTGCAACATTTCTTCTGTAACAACATGGCTCCTCTTCCAGGGCGACTGGGTTTGGCTGAAGAAATTTGAGGAGGGCCACTTCAAGGAGGTGAAGCAGAGCACCACAAAGATTTTCACAAAGGTAGAGAAACATGTCTTGACTTGTGGGGGGATAACAACGGACACAAAGTAGAATCTTCACTCAAATTAAGTGGTTTGGAAAAGCTACACATTTCTATTGTGTGTATCTTAACATACCTTATTTTCTTCTGTCCTTGCATTACCTGTTTATCCACCTATGTGCTCTCAGATGAAGGACCTGAGAAACGAAAATGTCAATCCATTCCTGGGCTTCTTTTCGGATTTCTCCATGTTTGCGGTGGTGACGGAGCACTGCTCGCGGGGCAGTCTGCAGGACCTGCTGAGGAACGAGGACGTTAAATTAGACTGGATGTTCAAGTCCTCACTTTTGCTTGATCTCATCAAGGTAAACATAAATATGACAACCCTGTTTGTCATTTTGCCATGATTTTCAAAAGTGAATTTTATTGATATATTATGTGAGTTGGATGTGTTTTGCTTCCAGGGTATGAAATACCTTCACCACAGAGAATTTCCTCACGGCAGACTAAAATCTCGTAACTGTGTGGTAGACGGACGTTTTGTCCTCAAGATTACTGACTATGGCTTCAATGAGCTGCTGGAGTCTCAGAAAGCTCCCATAGAAGAACCTCCACCTGAAGGTAAAAGCCTAACCCAAACCTGGTGGAAATCACAACACAGTTCCATTTCTTTGGAAGACAATATAAATATAAATTGTCTGGGATTTATTTTTTTCACTGGTAGTGTCCAGTGATGTATACACACAACGTCGCCAAATCTGTCTTCATTGGCTGATATCGAATTCTTTCTTTTGTCCTCTCAGATCTATTTTGGACAGCTCCAGAGTTCCTGAGAGACCTTGCAAGCTCACGTAAAGGGACCTATAAAGGAGATGTGTATAGCTTTTCTATTATCCTCCAAGAGGTGGTGGTCAGAGGGCCGCCATACTGCATGCTGGGTCTACCACCTGAAGGTACTGTATGCATCCATTACAAAGGAGGAGATGCTGATTAAGAGAAGCAGACAAATTAGAGAGGAGTTTTTCAGATGTTTTGAGACAAGTGAGATGTAGATTTCAGGAACATCTCACCAACACAACAGCCACGACCAATTTGTTTGTTTGTTTTTATATTGCTACCAGGCAGCAGAGCTCACAGCCAGCAGTGTGACAAAATACTGCTACATATTCTTGTTTGACACTGGATTAATGTGTCCCATCTCCACCATCTCCTCACCAGAGATCATCCGTAAAGTAAAGAAGCCTCCTCCAATGTGTCGCCCCACCGTGGCCCCGGACCAGGCTCCACTGGAGTGTATCCAGCTGATGAAGCAGTGCTGGAGTGAACTGCCTGACCGCAGACCAACCTTTGACGAAATCTTTGACAGGGTAACTTTTTGGAGACACCGTTGTGTGATATTATTCCAAACTATACGGTTGTTATTTCACTCATGTAAACCAGTTTTAAAAATATTACACTGTTTAACATGAATCTGTATTTTGTTACAACTAGTTCAAGCTCATCAACAAGGGTAAAAAGACCAACATCATTGACTCCATGCTGAGGATGCTGGAGCAGTACAGCTCCAACCTGGAGGACCTCATCAGAGAGAGAACAGAAGAGCTGGAGGTGGAAAAGCAGAGAACAGAAAAACTGCTGTCTGAGATGCTCCCACCGTGAGTTAACCACACACCATGATCCAATCCACACTGTGAAGTTAGGAAATAGATATACTGTTTGTTGCATGATTATCTGAATCTCATCTCACTTTTCTGCCTCTCTGTCTTCAGTTCTGTGGCTGAGGCTCTGAAGACTGGTGCCACAGTGGAGCCAGAGTACTTTGACGAGGTGACAATCTACTTCAGTGACATTGTAGGTTTCACCACCATCTCTTCACTGAGTGATCCCATCGAGGTGGTCGACCTTCTCAATGACCTCTACACTCTGTTTGACGCTGTGCTCAATAGCCACGATGTCTACAAGGTCAGAAAGCATGCGTGATATTCATAATACACTCATTTCCAATCAATGTGTTTGAAAATGAGTGATTTGTTTATGGAGTTTGCGGAAGGCTTATGAATGCATCCCTCCAGCATCTTAGCAATATTCACAGAAATGTTGTTTCAACCTGACACTGTGGAGTGATCAACAGGAGGTGTACTTAGTAAACAGGTATAGCACAAGACCTTAAAGAGACCTGAAAGCTACTGTTTGAGCCATGTAACCAGTAACCAGTGACACACTCTTGTCCATAACTAAATAAATATGTTGGCATTGCCCAGGTGGAGACCATTGGTGATGCTTACATGGTAGCATCAGGTCTGCCAAAGAGAAACGGCAACAAGCATGCTGCTGAGATCGCCAACATGTCTCTGAACATCCTCAGCTCAGTGGGAACTTTCCATATGCGGCACATGCCAGATGTTCCCGTCAGGATACGAATAGGAATCCACTCAGGTGAGTCCTGTTCAAAGCCAGAGTCCTCATCACATCATTTTACACTTATTAACATTCTGCTCCAGTTGAGCAGGTGGTCCAGTACCTCTGTACAGCCATTTGTAGAATACATAAAATTGAACACCATAGTGACCGGTCATTGTAGGACTGATTTTGACATGTAAAATGAACGATTTGTCTTCAGTCTACGTCAGAGGTGACAAATATCCATATATTCCCCTACTGTAAAAATAAGGCTTCAGTGTTGAGTGTTGTTAAGTAATGAATGAGTTGAGTAACTAATACAGGCCAAATACACCAACACAATAGCTTTAATGGTCTTGAATCTTACTCTGTTATGTCCCAGTCTCAGTTTCGACTCAGTTTCACTAATTAGAGTCTCACTATTAAATCCAGCTCTAGACTGGACAAGCTCCAGGTCTTATTTCATCTACCTCTCTTATGTGCAGCTGGAACACACATGCAGAAAAATACATGTAATACATATAGTGAAGGCTATACATGTGATACTTCAGTGCGTAAGATGCAGCAACCATATATCAAATGAGAAACAACAAAAACAATCAGAGTGTGATACAGCTACTCTTTTTCTTAATCATATTATTCTGCATATCTGGCTGTTTTTTTTGTGTTTGCAGGGCCCTGTGTTGCTGGGGTGGTAGGTCTGACTATGCCTCGGTACTGCCTTTTTGGAGACACTGTCAACACTGCCTCTCGTATGGAATCCACTGGGCTGCGTGAGTATCACACTGAACACATCACCCACTGTGTTTTGTTGTGTTGCTTCATGTTTTGTTTTTTGTTTCTTGGTCCAATCTCTTTCTCTCTTCTCTTCTGCCATCAGCTTATAGAATCCATGTGAATATGAGCACTGTGAAGATCCTCCATTCTCTTAATGAAGGTTATAAAATAGAAGTCAGAGGCAAGACAGAGTTGAAGGTAACATTTAACCTCAGTGTTGGCAAATATTTTGACACTCTCAGATTTTCTTATCCATGCCTTTTTTGTTTTTTCTGCTAGGGTAAAGGTATTGAAGAGACATACTGGCTTGTGGGGAAAACAAACTTTACAAAGCCTTTGCCAAAACCACCAGAGATCAAACCAGGGTAAGAGATTCAACTCACTGTTATTATTCTCATTATCAACTCCCATCTGATCGAAAATTGCATAACTGCCATTAACCTGCGATTGATACACGACTCATGCAAACTGCAACTATCCGCATGTTACTTCAGGGAAAACAATCACGGGCTGAACCCGGAGGATATAGCCGCGTACAGGAGAAAGAAAGCCGAGAAAAAGGCTTGACCTTCTTAGTTCAAACACAGGAGGTAGAGACCTGCATGCCAGCTGGTGTTGTGTTGTGTTGTGTTGTGGAAATGTCATTGTGGCTGATTCGATGTGACCAAAGGCAACCCTTTGAGCCTGCGCAGACACAATTCCCTCTCATTGAGTTCTGAACCTTAGTGGTGGCTTTGTGATTTACGATTCTCATTAATCTCTTGATCTTATCATCTTCTACATGTTCTTAATCGGATTGGTGAAAGCGCTCTTTGTTGACTTCATTTATTTTTATTGTGGCTGGCACATTTTCATAATTAACTTCTAGCATTCGTTTTACTGTTTGTGCTTTTTGTGTGCTTTGTGGTACTCTTTCATAGTATTTCTGTTTCTTTACATCCTAGAGCCCTGCTTAAGAATGAATGGCTCTGTAAAATACAATATTGGTCTTAACTCCCTCCTCTGTCTTTACTAGGGATAACTGGCAGGAGATGGTGACAGAGGAGATCAAGACACTATTTCGTAAGGCCAACAGGCAGGTGGACAACAAGATCTAAATGAGAGGAAGAGGAGCAAAGATGTGAAAGAAGCAAAACCAGACACATCCGGAGAAAGAAAGAGACAAAGAGCTGGGAGGGGCAGGCAGAGCAGAGAAGGCACCACGCAGCCTCTCACTGTGGCTTAATGCAGACTTGTTTAATAGGATTGTCCATCGACTGGCTAATCTGCCTGCAGCCAACGCAGCAGAACGCGACGGTGCTAATGTAATGAGAGTTGTCGTATTACCTGCCTACGTATCTGCTGCCGAAAAGCACAAGGAAAGTGCACCCGCTCCTTAATGAAGGATGCACTCATTCACTCCTCTCTACGCACACTGGCCACTGAGTGGTCACCTATTTCAGGGCAACCAGAGGTTCACCCGTCAGAAGATTGAACGCCCCAAAACGCCTATTTCAAAATGAAATGTTTGTTTTTTTTCTGCTTATAATGTCTGTTTTTAGTTTGTCATGAAAGCTCATAATAGAGTTGTGGAGCCAAGGCTGTTACTTAGCTATGGCTAAATATTATATTATGTTATTAGCCCTCCAAAGCTGGAGGCAAAGGCTGCTATTGTATATAACTATCAAAAGAGAAGAAGAGAAATTTGCCACTTTTATTTCTACTCTACTAGAGCAGAATGAGAAGGAACAGTCAGTCCAGTCCATACATGCCCATTGTTTAATTATTTATTTTTTAAAGATGTCACCCTCTTATTGTTTGACACTAATGAAAAGGAAAGATTATTTTTCTTTTCTGCTATAGTTAATGGAATTTTACTATTTCCAAAGTGCTCAGTGGTTGCTTTAGTCCACTGACACGTTGTTGTAACACTTGATATCATCATCTATAATTCTGGTTGAAGTAAATTGAGTTAACTGATACAGCTACATGCTACTGCTACATCTCTGAATGATATGACACTCCTGCTAGCAATAATAGTCCTGTAATACGAAGCTATAATGTGAAAAGAAATTATTCATTATCGATCAAAATTTCAGCTTTTTTTTCTTTTCTTTTTTTTGCGTATTATTCTGTTATCACAGTTAACTTTACATCCTCTCTTTAATGTGTCAATATAAGAACACAATCTGTGTGTGTGCCTGTTCATGCAACAATTTTATTTACAACATCAACCAACCTTTCTTGACTACAGAGTAACTTTTGTACATAAATCCATAGATGTTTATGTCTACGGAGTGTACAACATTAATCATATCTGGGAGTGTGACTGCTCATTTTGCACCCTTCTACTAGGGTACATTAAAACACTTCCAGAGTGTCAGGTATAGTTTCCCTCACAGAAGCATGGTGATGTGTGCGAGCTGTGCACTGGCTGAACATCGCCATCTAGTGTTCAAATTAAGACATTTGCTAAGAAGCATTGAACAGATTTTTATTATTGAGTGCTTTGAAGTAAAAGAATAAAAGCGACAAAATGTAGATGCTGACTGCAGTTTATTGAAATGGCATGTAGGTGTAAGGGAATACCTGGGAGCACAAATTTAAAAGAAAAACATGAATCCAAATAAATGATAATGATATTAATATGTTACTATGTATTTGTCAAAGTTTTGACCTAAACCCCAAAATATAAAGTCTCGTCTCAACCAAACCAAATTATTGTTTTTTTTTAAACAACATTTAGAAATAATCCCCTTATATTCTATGATTTTAATGTTGACTATAGGAGAAGCGTAATTCATGCTTGGTGTACAGCAAAGTCAGTCATTGTGTAATTTATATGTTGTTATTTTGTCTTGTGTATTATTCCTGCACTGCAAAGTACAATGTGCATGTAAATACGACATGATAAAATAATTAAACCATTGATTTGTAACATCATAATTATCTTCCTTATAGTCGTTTTACTCTTTACAACCAGAAGGTGGTGCTACAGCTCTTACACAGAAATAAATCTAAGCCATTTACTGTATTTCTTACAAAGGGGTTGTATTATTTATGTGATAACAAAAGTCTTGAGCTAATGTTTTGACTGTGTGAAAGGTGTTAAAAACTACTGATTTTGATTCTTTTGTTGACCCAATGTTGAGTTGCAGCTACACCTTTTCATTTGCTGTGCTGGAACGGCAGGAGATTAAGTTCCCCACTCACCATGATAACCCTGCACTCCAGTTCTTCCACTGCAGAGTCAGCTTTTCCTCTGGTTGGGACGTCCTAACAAAGATCCCACTTATTATTAAGGCTAGTGGTGGTTAAAGAAATGAACCACCAAATTCTCTGGCTGGTTATCTACAGCAGATTAGCAGTATGAGGAAAAGGCGGCCATTGTCATGTCCCTGCATTCCAGAGATGGCAGGATTGTTTGACCTCTAGTCAACTGGAAAGATTGTTATCCCTTTTCCTTTGAGATGTTAACTCTTGCGTGCTCACATTCCTCTGTTCAGCACTCCAGAGTTGTATTCAGGCATGCTTTTATAAAAACAGGACACACACACAAAGAACATTTCCTTTATTTTTATTGGAAAATGAACACATGATTTCATAATCACAGAATTCCAACAGCTTCTTTGTGGAAAATACCTGCAGCAACAACAGTATGGTTGGCAAGTGGACATAAATTAAGCTCCAGACGTTTGCCACCTTTCCACTGCAAACTCAGCTTGTGTAGACGAACAATTCAGTGCAGTGCAGACTGGAGGCAAAATAAGGGAGGGAGTGAGACAGATCTGTAAAACAAGCTTGTGCAAAGATCTTTTTTTCTTTAAACATTAAAGATACTGCAAGAAGAGCACATTAATCATGGCCGAACCACAATGGCAAAAATAGAATGTAAAGAAAAAGAGATCATACTTAATATAAGCATGTTGTCTGCTGTGCCAACTGCTTTTTGTTTATGGAAATCTCAAATGAGGTAAATATTTGTGTTTTTCTGTGTGATTAAGGACATAATTCAATCCAAGGGGGCTTAACGCTGAGGCTTAAACATACAAAATTGTTCCCTGGGAAGGTGTAGTGTGTCTAAAAACAGTAAGCTCAGATTTTCAGTCCACAGATTGTCTATTGGAATGTGCTCATGAGGAACAGTAATACCAAAATGAACACACAGGATCCTGACATAATTTCACAAAGCTACCCAAAGTGATTCACAACATTAACATTATAGCTCATCACGCATCTTATCTCCTTTGGGTCTAACCACTCTGCCAATGTAAAGGATGGAGTTGGTCTTGTTGTCCTTCACCAGGAAAAAGAAGGGGTGATCTACGTAGAAAAGTTTGGGGTTCCTCAGCTTTTCGGTGCCGAAGATGTTGGTGTCGAACGGATTTCCCTCCACGTCCAACTCCAGGGCCGACGCGTGGAAGACGTTGGAGAGGTAGAGGTCCTTCTTTCCAGAGATGTTGGACAGGTCAGCCTTGGCTTTGTCCACAGCCTCGGTCAGGCCGAGCTCAGCCAGGTGTTTCTGGAGAAGACAGAGAGACAGATTTGCTCAACACACAGGGTTAAGGTTATTTTTGTTTGATGTCTGATTTTTGGATATCTATGTTGTGATAACCATCAAATCACCAAATTGCCACCAATTTACCTGCAGATTGTGGCTGACTTCCACAGAGATTTTAGGAAGAGAGATGGCCACAGGTTTGCTCTCCATCTTGCTGAGCCAAGTGTCCACCTGCTTCCTGGTCAGGAGTTTCTCCAGGCGCTCCAGGGGCTCCAGATGGTAGGGCATGATGAGGATCATGGAGGCCTGCTTCTTGCCCAGAGGCATGTTCAGCACAAAGATGCGGTTCGCTGTGTCCTCATAGAAGTCATACAGACCTGTGAAGCGCAGTCAGACTAATCAGATACCTTATCTTGCTTGGATTTTTGTTGAGGCAGCTATGAAGCTGTGAAGACATAATAAGATCAGAAGCAGAGATGACGGAGAGACTCACCTGTGCGATGCATCATGGGAACTCCAACGGTGAATGAGCGAGTAACCAGGAAGCCTCGGTTGTCCACCATTTTATCATGGAACTTCTCATCCCAGTGAGCTGTGGGACGAAATATTAAAAGACTCTGTTATACCTCTGTACAGTCGCGTTTCAGAGTTATGATCAAAAATGTGAAACATATCAGGCTTGGAATCAAAAATACTGTTTATACTCACGTTTGAAGAACATGGCATTGACAATCATGGCTCCATCTGGGTTCTGCACGTCCTTGGTGATCTCAGGCAGTTTGCCATCTGTTGACTTCGCCGCCCATTCATTGATGGAGTTCACGGCGCTCCTCTTGTCCCTGAAGTTTATTTTCGAATGGTCGTAGTTGTAGTGCTTCTTGCTGCTTTTCACAAAATCGTCAGCGAAGGAGACGGAGCTGGGGCCGTAGAGGCGGTTGTTGATCTTCCAGGTAGTATTGCGTGTCTTGGCGTTGCTCACCTGGGATGAAGCAACATATAATCAGACAAATGTGCAAAAGTTTGAAACTATTGAGGGTCTATATTGAGGCCTCTTGTGGTACCAAAATTTAAAATTGTTGATAATGAGGTCTAATGTATTGTGTTTTATATTTGTTTTTCATACCTCAGAAAGCAGCTCAGACAACCCTGAGTGCAGATGCTCATCCTTCAGTTTGTCAGCACTCAGGACGGTCTTGACCTGGGAGGCAGTGGAGGCCTTTCCACCAAGAGCCACCATCCCCAGAGAGGAGGCCACCACCACAGGAGAGATGAGGATGTTCTCTGTGTCTTTCTCCTTTGCCATGTTGTGGTAGAGGCTAAATCAAAATCACAAAAACAATTATTTACTTATGTTTTTCTTAGAAAAAAGTGCTTAAGAAAATCTATAGAAATAATTGAGACTATAATCAGGCCACTTTATGTTACAAATGTATCATCATCATAATACGGATACAGACCTAAAAGCCAGGTTGGCGCTGTTGTCAGCCAGCGTGGTGGCATGGCTGCTCAGCTTCTTGTCCTCTGCAGAGGCCACAAGGGCCAGCAGACAAAGAGCAACAACGTTGGTCATCCACATCCTGTCTGTCTCCAAAAGCAGCTGTAGCAGCCTGCGAAACAGGAACAAAAGAAAAAGATATGGGTTAACATGACTTAATCTGGGTTGTTTGAGTGAAATCAAATAAAGCATATGCAAGTATTGAGTTTGAGATGGAAGGCACATGTCAGAATAACTCCTCAGAGAGACTTTGTGGAATTGATACTTATCCGAACTATATTTAGTTTTTAAAACTATATATTCAGCAGAAAGAAAATGTGAAACTGCCCGGACACAGAATGGGATGTGATGACGTAGACGCAGGGAGGGGTTGGCTCGGCCCACACAGAAGCTTGGGACGGCCTCCAGTTTGAGGCAGACATGTTGCCCGCCACGTCAGCAGCAACTGGAGGCTCAGCTGTACAGCTGGAGCTGCTGTCCACTCGGAGTGTAGCTGTGTGCTGACTCAAGGGTGTAATATGATACCTCTCTATTCTCTACATTTCCTGTAATTGATGCAAACTGTTGCACATCTGCACTTTAATGACCTCAAGCGCTTGTTTTTCTTGAGCCAGTAGAAATAAGGATCAGAAATCACTATGTTTGATGCATTTGCATGTTCTCTGTGAAATCACTCTGAATCATCTTTTTGTCCTAGAGAAGGGTGTGTGCCTGATGCAGGCTGTATCTAACTCATCCCATCACTTGTTCAAACAAAGGACCAAATGTATATAACCTGAGGTTGTAATTAACCAGCTGCCCTGACGTCTCTGAACACGTTTCTGTCTCCTCTCCACCAGTGCAGACATATGTTGCCAGTATCTCAGTATTTGCATATTTGTGATACAGCAGAAATGACTTTTGCATCATGTTAGGATACCTTGAGTTGTTTTGATGTCTGCGATTTTCATTCTGAAAGACAAGAGGTGTACGTAGTAATCTCCACAGAGCAGGCAAGGAAACATTATTCAGGCTCTGATGGAAACAGTCTGTGTTGTCTAATTTCTCCTTCTTATTCCCCAGTTTTCATCTGTTAAACTTAAAATGTCTAAGTTATTGTAGTAGTTAGTCATCACTTGTTCACAATCAGACACGTACGCTGTTTTCATTGGCTGTGTGTGACCCAGAAAAAAACTTTCATCCAATCAGCTGTGCCACGGTAGAGAAGCACTGATTTCTAGAGGACAGATTTGAACCTCTCCTCAACAAAAAGTGACAGGTCAAAGTTAATAAAAAAGCCAGATTAGGTGCATATACAGAACTTTTTGTCAGTGAATTTGCACTTAAATGCATTTAAATAGACGACAAAGCACTGGCATGCAAGAGGCAAAAAGCTTTGCTGAGATAAATTGCATGAAAACTTTAAGCTCTGCCAACAAATCTGTCTTTGTTTTCCTTGCAAATACATTAAAGATATTCTGTGAAATATGCAGGTCAAACAGCCAGAGAAATAGCAGAAGACTTCAAACTGGTTAAAATGGAACAATGCTGCGCTGTAACATTAAACCTTAACAACAAAGCAGCCCATTCACCCTCTGCATTCCTTCCTGAAACAAAGACAATTATCTTCCAATCCTCACCTGGCACAGAGTCGCAGGGTTTCTCTTCTGAGTTGTGTCCTGAGGATTGTGTAACTGTAGCACACTCTCCTGCTCTATATAGCCCGAGAGAGAATTTTCTAGAAGTGGGAATGGGATATTCAAATGAGGCTGTCTGTATTTTCCCCAGGAAGTTGGGAGCTGGGACGTCCCACAGGCTGGAGAGAAGGGGGTCGGCTGGAGTCAACTCCTCAGACCTGATCTGGGTTCAGCTTCGAAACTTTCCAGATGAGCGGCTGCAAAGAGAAACTCAGAGGAAATCTGATTGTGGGTCAGTTGTGGCCGCTGTTGTACAAAGATACTCCTCAGCCTCTAGGTCCTAATGCTGCTTGCTGACTCAATCTGCAACACTGGTTTCATCACATCTAAAAGATAAAGATAAAACTGTGTTTTAATATGAACTTAATGATTCGTATGCATAAGAAAATACAGGATGTGGCATGCCAAAGCTTGTTTTTGCAGTTGTTGCAACTTGGAGTGTGTGAGCCTCCCTGGGACACCACCCCACTGCATTCTCAGCAGGCAAGACACCAGTGAATGGAAACAACTGTTCTCAGAGGACACGCAGTAATTTATTGTAGTTAACCTCATTAGACTGATGTGTAGTTTCAAATGGAAACGTCCAGAGCTTTAAAAAGCTTCATTCAAGTTGTAGCCATGCTTCACAGAAGTTGCCAGGTCTCCAGCCCTGCCCCCACCCGTACCCCCACCCCCACAGCGCCACGTCTGTCCAACTCAGCTGCCGATTGTAGGGTGTTGGAAGGATGGGGGTGTAATGGAGGACCACTGTCATAAAAACTGTCATTTCCTGACCAGGGCCTCCTTTGTTCTGTGCAGGAACATTTTAAAAAAATAAGGGGTACGTATAATGTATGGAAATCTGTTCAGTCTTTACTGATCGATATTAAAGACCGCATGACGACATCAAAGATGAACATTGTTAGCTATAATGTCAACTCTGTCAACACATTATGTGCAGTATAAAATACTGATCATGATGTTTAACACACACTACTTTGCAACCAGAGGAATTCCATCAATCTCTTAATCCCCAAATTCCTCCTCTTTTGCAGCTCTCAGCAGACTGTCCTGACATGCCAACTGATGACTGACTGGCCTTTTTTTCAATGACTGGCTGCGGGAGACATCCAGAAAGTTCTACGAAGGTTTGAGGAAAACAAATCTCCAAATCCTAACTCCTTATTGAAATGCTGCTCACTAGGATCTCACATGATCGGGGGCAGGCTTGCAGCCGCTTCCCTCCGGTGAGGGGGTTGTTTGTCATTCGGAAAAAAAACCCAGGAGCTACAGTTTACACTCAAATTCCTCAGCATGTGAGTGAGGGCAATTTCTGGATCGAACAAGCCTGGTCAGATCTCCTCTTACACTTAATCTCCATTTAAAAAGCATTCCTTTCATTGTCTACCTAATGTGGTACAAAGGCACAGACAGAGGATGTGAAGGCAGCTCATGGACAGGAAACATGAAAGACTGCGTATAGTTAGGCATTCATTTTGTAACACTACATAATCTCATGGCAAATTCAGCATTGTGATACTGCATTGTAATGCTAGCTTTACAGAAAAACTGCCCTATTACACACAAGAATCATGCAGAAAGGTATCTTTACTGACAACAGAACAAGATGTTAATTCTTTGTTTTTTTAAGGAAGGATAAAAGAGACACAGGGGTCCTCCAAGACCACACACCCTGTGTGTGACCTCTTTATGCTGTCTAAATATATACCATGTGTCTACGTGTCTGTGTGAGCATAAAGACTCTTCCAGCACTTTTCTGAATCACCACCACACACAAACAGTTTAAATACTGTGAAACTTTCATCTTCTCTAACATGGCAGGGAAGGATGTGAGAGCTATAGGCGCAGCAATAAATGATGCAATATTTCAACCGGTGAAAGTGAAAAGATTGTCAGTATACGTCACATTTTCTCAACTACAGAATCTGATGTAAGAGTAGGAATAGCAGACCTTGGAGGGTGGAGCAATTCTTGCAAACTACAGCAACAAAATGCTATTTCAGGGATAGAGGCCCATTCAACATCTGCACGTGATTACACTGACCTCCGCACTAGTCTCGGTCAACTGTATCTTCGGCTGAGTCTGTCCCTCCTTCTCTCTTTTGCTTTCTGGTTTCATTTCTAGTCTATACATTCGGATTGAAATGATAGATTATGTTGGATTGAAATGATGGAAAATGTAAGGTGATCACTATTATTTTTATGCGTTGTAAGACTGTAATATTTGTACTGTACTGTTATATTGTACATTTTGTAAGGAATGGATGGCAAACAGTTGTTTATGCAGTTGCATTATAGTTGCTACTGCTGAAGAAAACAGAGCTATAGGGGGGTTGTGAGCAAACCATCTGTGTTAGTTCTGCAACCAAAAAGACTAACAGGGTTTTGGCAGCCTGTTGCAACTGTTTGGGGGTTTTCTAAACACCTCTCGTCCTGCTTATCTCTTCCAGATGTATCAGTGTAGGGTTTCCTCTCTAATATACCTTCCTTATGCGCATATTGTTTACTGATTCCAATGCTACAGACGTGCATCCGAAACAGTTTAAAGAACTCAGGAAGGACTAAAAGACAAATATTTTTATTGAGAAAAAATATCCAACGACGGGTTTCTAAAGGAATCTTAACACTGTGATAGTTGATAAACTGTGTATCTAAATGGCTACAGCCACCAGTCCACAGGGAGGAAATGCTGGACACAAAGACTTCACTGGAGGAAGTAGAGCAGGGCTGCCAATGATGCAAGACCTGAGAAATATTTCAGCTCTGCTGTGTGATGTAACTTTCTGAGGTTTTGTGTCTATGAGTGCACAGAGCTACTACATCATATACAGTTACAGTAATCTGTGTAATTCTCAGTCTAAACCAGACTCACATTATAATGTAGTAGCATTAAACTGAACACCCATTAGGATGCAAAGTTTTATAAGTAGATAATCAAATGACTTTCATATCAACCCGCAGGTTAAGTCCAGCTGAAATGTTATTGAGGTGAAGATAAATAAAAGTGGGCAGTGGACTTGTACGGCATGAAATGTGTATCAAGGCATTAAACAACAGCTGATATAAATGGGCTGTGTCTATTTTGATTTTTTGATATACAATACATACAGTACTCGCCCCTACAAAAGTACTACATTTGGGACCCATCTGCCTGATGTAAATTAATCAAAAATGTATAATCAATTATCTTTCTGGGCGACTCCAATGAATCCAAATGATCTTATACAATACATTAGTCTATATCCTTTGATGTTGAAACCTTATTAAACAAAACTACTACTTGTACTTGCTTATTTCAGATAAAGAAAACATTTACAGATTATTTTGTCACTTTTGAGGAATGTCAAAAAGTCTATTTTAGACCTACAGTATAACTTGTGAAATGGGAATTAGGAAGGTGAATCTTTTCAATGGTCTTAATGTAGAATAAACATGCCCCCTGGTGGGAGAATTTTGAAAGCTTCCTCCAAGGTATGCTTCACAGTAATTGAAGTATTAAGTAATATTGTCTTCAAGTTTGTATTCTTTCTTTTACCCTTACGATGTTTTCGAATTTTACTTATTTCATCAGGCTTCATCTTAAAATACAGACAGGCTACTGCAAGTTTATATTTTCCACTAAAAATATGAATGACAAAAATTAAACAGGAAGAGTTCTGAAAATAAACCAAAGACATCCAGCTACTGTTTACTTTTTTAGGGAAGCCTAATATCTTGGATATAAACTCTGAATGTCTACAATATTAGAAGAAGCAATAGCAATCATTTTAATTGTTGGCCAGACACCACAGATACACTGCCAGCTGTTGTAGTGTGGAATAACAACCACTAGATGGAGTTAAAAGCAACCGGATAAATTACCACCACTACCCCAGAGTTTTTCAGGACAGCATCCTTAAAGATAAACTCGAACATTCATCATTGATTTGTCAGTACACACATGATAAAGTTACTTGCATGGTCAGCAAATCTAATTCATTATTAGAAAACTAGAAACAGCAATTTCTGAAGAATAAAGCCATCCTACTGCAAGGGGGCAAGCTGAAGCCAAACTGCATTGCTGCCTTGAATTAGTATGAAGAGGGAAGCTCCAGTGACTCACCTGGTAGAGCGCATACCATTTAGGCTCAGTCCATACCACAGCAGTTTGGGTTTGAATCAAACTCAGGCCCTTTACGGCATGTCATTCCCTCTCTCTCTTCCCTAACTTACCTGTCTCTCTCTCACTGTCCCAATCATAATAAAGCCCAAAAAAAACTAAATAAAAAAAAAGAATTTGTATGAAGAAGCAGTTGAAGTTGCTTGAAGAGATGGAAAAAAAGGGGAAAGGGATGAAGAATGCAAACTGAAGTGGATGTAGTGAAAAAACTTTAGATGTGAGTCATATTGTGGAAGTGAGTTGAAGTACACGGAGAGAAACTGAGCTGCATTGCCTCATGCATAGCCTACACTGTAAATCCCATTTCACTCACTCAATTTAAAAGTTTATTGGAAATGGTCTGCACACAAAACTTGTTTACATGCATACCAGCTATGGAGGCGGTGGGAACCGTAAGGCAACGCCTGCTACACGACAACACCCTTCACAATAGAACCAACCTCAACCCAGAACAGATATGTGAACTACTGGACCTCAGCGAAACACCACCTACTTCCAATATAACTGGGGGTTCTACAGACAAAAGCATGGCAGTGCTATGGGCTCACCTCCCATGGTGGCAAACCTCTACATGGAAGAAGTAGAAAGCAGGGCCCTGAACTCTTTCAGAGGAACAGCATTTATGGATAACAAATATATTTTTCTGGTTTCATAATTTCAGCATGGCAAAATTAAAGGAAACTGAAATCCAACATTCATTAGCACATTGCAAAATCAAGAAACACAACATTCACTCTCTGGCTTCTACGAGTGGGATAGATGCTGCATATATTAGATAAACTGTCCAAGATCAATGTTTTCATACCACCCCCCTAAAGAAATCTATAAGTATTATACAAAGTCAGTGTTGTTTCTGTTCCTCTCTGGAGCTGATGTGAGGCCTCTTAAAAGATTGTACCCAGCTGTGAAATTCCAGCAGACCTTCAAAGTCAGAACAAGCTGTTGTATTGGCATTTAGATGATAGAGTGTGACTCTTTGTTCCCCTTCTCCCTGCTTTAGTCCAATTCTGTCTCCTTTAAGACAGTATCAGTCACAATCTATTCGCCTGACCCTGCTGCATTACGCAACACCACCTGCAGATGAGACCCCTACCAGCAGTCCTCCCCTTCCTGCCAGTGGATGCTGGTTGGCATTTTAAAATGGGCGGAGTTCAAACAAAGCTCAGCAGCTGGAGCTACTGACTAATGCCAACCTGTGGAGAGAGGAGTAGCAAAACCCGGGTCAGCCACATCAAACAGGGATGTGCCACAGGAAATCATCCTGAGAGGAACATTTCCCTTGCCTCCCGAACCTGTAGATGCTCACGAAGAGACAACGTCAGAGTGTGTGTGTCTGTGTCACTGTGTCTGCATGAGTGGTTGCATGGATGCAAGGGTGCTGATATAATCTCAACATCTATTTGACTTGTATTAATGCCTGATATCTAAAGTGCTGTTTGATCTAAAAACAGTTGATGCAATTGAAACATTGCAAGACAACACACACACACTTTTAATTTCCATGATTCCAATGATGCTAATGTTTCTGCCAACATCACACTGACTGTTTCCTTGGTGATAAGTCTGAACCGTTTCTTCTTTTAACTACAGCTCCTCCTCCACTTGACATGTTCATAGTTCGGGATAAGCAATTGAATGCAGCCGATCTGAAAATGGTTGAACACTTCAAACACTGTATCTGTATCCCTTGTTGAGTCATTTCTCACACCAGAGACCTGCTACCACCTGTCATTATCAAAGATGATCATCACAGTCTGAATACATTTCACTGTGCTTTCTGGTACAATAAATATTGGAATTTGTCAGTGTAGCTTTCTTGCTGAGAAACATTACAGCGACAAAACAAACAGTAAACTAAACATACGTGTCACTCAATACTGTCATGCTCTTTAATGTGTGCAGCTGTGTGAAAAAGAACTCTACTTTGTTTCTCACCCTTTAAATAATCAATCCATGGAATCAAACCAATCTTTGTAACTGAACATCTTTTAACAGGACAAATTAGGATGAACACTAACCGTGTCACGGTGTGTGTCAACTGACCAATTGTGAGGCACTGCTGACATTAAACGCTGTCTCTGACTATGGCTGCAGATGGTGTTCTTTTGACAAATGTTAATAAATCAGTTTGGTTTAATGAGTCATCTGATACTTGTCAATAGCCTATGATAGAGGATGACAAAGTCTGAACCTGGAAAACACTGAGTGCACAAAAGGCCAGTGACCCCTCTGGTGGTTTGAGTGTTTACTTTGTTTAAATGCCTGGTGGATTATTGAAACTTATTTATCTTCTTTTTTCAGATCACAATGGTTTCCAATGATACTGGAGAGTAGATCTGTGCTAAAAATGTGATAAAAAAAAGATAGACCTAAACCTGCTCTGATGGTGTGTATAAAATAACCACACTAAGCAGACCAACATGGATATTTGTGACATTTATTCTGTAGCCTGTTAACAATAAATCCAAAAATTGATCCCTTCCTAATGTGCTTAAATGAGGGATTCAAAAGTTTATCTGAAGCTAACAGGAGACGACCTTGACAAATCAAGTTGGTTGACTCTTGCTTAGACAGATTTGAAAAATACTGAACTTATTTTTAAATTATTGTGTTTGCGTGCTGTTGCGTTCACGTCACATCGGATTTTCTGCTTTCAAACGAATTGACGATTAGGGGAAAACCGTTGTTGGCAGTTTAGTTTACTGGCTTCTTTATCTCTCACTGCTCGGTGCCAATAGTGGCACAGAATAACGGCAAGCAACACTAAAACCTCACAAATACCCTTCAATTTATCTTAGTTTTGTAAATTGCAGTTGATTAAAATGGCGTGAAGAGTTTTACGGTGTAGCAAAGGTACAGCAGTCCGGTAAACGATGCAACTTGAAGGGGACCGGGAGTAAATTCAGCCTGGTGACGCTCTCTCACTGTACAGGAGGGCTGGAGATAAAAAGACCGACACTCACTCCACCCACCGTTCAGTCGGCTACGTTCAGTTACTCTGCCGGTGTATGTGTATATATCGCGGCCAACAGGGACGAAGCGGTACGCTCTACTCACAGAGAGGAAAAAAAACCCCGCAGGACCAAGTGTCTGAGAACATGAGACGGGACCTCTTTTAGCTAACCCGAAGCAACTGACGCCGTCCGTTCTCACCCCGGCTCTTTTCTCCTTTTGTTTTCGGTGTAAAACTTCAGCTCTGTCAGCATTTACCGGTGTGCCACTCACCTCTAACACGTTACCTCTGACACGGGTTGTCACCGTTTGACTCTCGGGGCTTTTTGTCTAGGGGAAAGAAAAAGAAAAGCCCCAGCTTTACCGTGGACCTCTGAGCTACCTCTGAAATCAGAGAAAAGTGGTAGCAGCCAGCAGACAGGTGAGTGTGCAACGTTATGGGTTGTGTGACATGTTCATCACGTTGTAATGGGAGCATTTATGGATAGCTTTATTTTTTTCTTTCAGAACATGTTTGTAGTTAAATGTCACATTTACCTTTTTTTTTTTTTCTTCAATTTGTGACACTCTGTAATAAGAGGTTTAACTATGGTAGCATTTGCTAACATGTCTGTAATGTGCCCAAAGTCAAACTAGTTTCCCTGAGTTTTCAGGATTGACACAAGTTTCTTTCCTGCATATGCTTTCTTTTTTTTTTTTTTAACCCATCAGTCTTTAGGTTAAGTACTTAGATTACTGCTCACTGGTGGTCTTATGTGCACCCACAGACATGGGACACGCCCATGATGTTTTATCCCATGAACGTTTTCCCCTTTTGGTGAAAGTATAGACTGACTCACGACTTTCCCATCCTCAGTTTATATCTGTCACAAGATAATGATTGCAGTGTAAAACTGCTTAATGCAAGTAAGACTACAGAGACTAATTGTTGATTCATCTCATCCAGTCATATTTACTGTGCGCATATGTTTTTACTCATTTTGCCACTTACTTGCATAATTAATGACACCATTATTTATTTCTGTCCTCTGAGGATGAGGATTGCCATTTGGGTGATGCTGGTGCATTAGCAAGGAAGTGTGTACATTTACTTATTACCTTCATGTCATGTATCCCTTCATCCCTTCAGAGGGAGTTTTAATCTGGTAAACAAACAGGACTTCAATCATCATAAAACTTTTGCTGTTGTTGCCATTTGGTCCAATGTCTTTAACCATTACATCCTTTTTGGCCGTTTTAACACTTCCCCATCTGTCACTACACCTCCAGTAAAAACAGCTAACACTTATTTGTTTTTGTTCTGAGCTTTAGTTGACAGATGACATTTATTTACATCCCACAGGCATGTAAATAATTACTTTAAAAGATATTGGAGCCTGTTTAGTCAGAGTTTCAATGGATGGATGACTCAGGATTAGTCAAGAATTTGAACAGCGAGGCTGTTCTTTTTTTTATTTCTTTTTTACAACGTCTATAAAAGGATTGAAGGGCTTTGGAGAGCAATGTGCTGGATATTGTGTTTTTAAAGTTCTTGTTGGCTTGTACAATACTCTTGCTCCTGTTTGGTAAGAGAGGCTCACATCCTGAGGACAGCCAGGACTATGAAAATGTTTTCAGGTCATGACACTGAAAGTCATTTTGTACAGCATGTTAGAAAATAAATATTACCCTTGATACTCAAACTGCTCCTATTTCAGCTGAGGAACTTGAGAAAATGATACAATAGTTGACATTTTGAAGTTAACTGGAAAAATGGGGACATAACATATACTTTGTACTTCTATCATTCTTCAAATTTGTGTGGATTAGAAAGGTGTTGCATTCAAAACATGGGCAACCATGCTGAAAAGGCTTGGTTTGTTTGAAAAATGCTTTAAAGATCACCCTTGATTTATAAATGTTATTTTAAGAGGAGAAATGGAGAATAAAGGGAGATGTAATCGGTTGGAACAGTGCGGAATGTGGTGTGCTAAATTCACAGCAGTAATCCACTTAATGGTTACCTATTCTTTTACATACACACACACAGTCTTTTAGATGCATTTCTCCACTGAATTCATGTTCTGTCATACATCTTTTAAACCATTAATTTTTTCTAGCTTTGAGATCTCATGCATATTACTGCTGATTTGAATTCCACTCAGTCAGCACTTTATGAGAAACACCATACTAATACTGGGTAGGGCCTACATTTGCTGTCAAAACAGCCTCAGTTCTTCATGGGCATAGATTCCACAGGATGTTGGAAACTGCTCCATGTTGACATGACTGCATCGCATCATTTCTGGAGATTTTTCAGCTACACATTCATGCTGTCAGTCTCCCCTTTTTACACATCCCAAACCTGTTCTATTGGATTTTAGCCTGGTGATTCAGCCTGGACTGTTGACTCAAGGCAGGTTGGGTCCATGGATTGTTGCTGCTGTTGTAACCCATCACCTCAAGGTTTGACATGTTGTGCAGTCTGAGATGCTTTTCTGCTCACCACAGTTGTAAAAAGTGGTTATCTGAGTTACCGTTGCCTTTCTGTCAGCTCAATTTCCTTTGACCTCTCTCGTCAGTAAGACCTTAGAGACTATTGTACATGAAAATCCCAGGAGATCAGCAGTCTGCCCGTCTGGTGCCAACAATCATACCATGTTCAAAGTCACTGAGATCATTTATTCCCCATTCTGATGTTTATTGTGAACATAAACTTAAGCTCCTGACCTGTATCTGCATGATTTTATGCACTGCACTGCTGCCACTCGATTGGCCGATTTGATAATTGCACAAATAAGCAGGTGCACAGGTGTTCCTAATAAAGTGTCAGATAAGATTAGCTGTGCTGTTGATTTAGACATGTTGAGGTGCACTGTGTACAGAGGCCGACCCTATTTCCCATTTGAGATGAGAATTGATTCTGTGTCCCAGCCATTCTGCTTTGTCCTGCTTACATAAGTCTGTATGTATTTATATGTTTATGCCCTGTATCTTTAAATAGCTGTTTCTAAGAACAGAAACATACCCAGTGCTCATCCTGCAATATATATTCTGTAGGATACTTGCGAGCTTCATATACCAGAAGAACACATCTGGATGATCTGTCAAACCTGTGCAGAATTATGACCTGTTATCGCTGGCTGCCCTGAAGCAGTGAAGTCAAGTCCGGCCTTATCTGTCTGTCTCTTTTGTGTCTATCCCCAGTAAGGATAATGAAGCTCCACAAAGAGCTGGCACACTTCTGAAAGCATTGCTATTAATTTGCAGCACCCACATGAGAAAATCTGATTTCTTTGTGGTGCCACTCTCTGAAGCAATAGCAAATATTTAATAGGAAGGGATAACGAAACTGGATTTAAAGATTTGAGAGAATGAGAAAGAAAGTCATGGGTGCAAGGCTGTGTACACAACAGCCTTGACTCAGTAGAAGGCTATAATTTCCACAGTACTTTTACATCATGCTGCTTCTTTACAGCAACCAATGTTTTCTTTCTGCCAATACATTTCTCACCACCTTAGGAGAGTGTCAATAGAGTTGTAAAGCCGCACATGCTAGCATAAGGTCGATTTGGTGACGAGGAGTGGCAGCATGTGAGACTTTACAGTGTGAGCTGGTCTGGTGCTGTGATTGGTTGAGAGTTGGTGAGGTGTATGGAGGTTGAAAGTGTCATGGTAACGTAGATGAATAAAAAAAATAAAACATGTAAGTAGACAGTCAGTGACGTGCATTCACATAAAGAGGGGCCTTGCTTCACAATGTCTAAGAGAACAAGCTTGTGTATTACTGAATATACAAACCAAATATAATCTAAATTTGGTGAAATTCATTTGTTTATCCACAAAACCAAGTGAGAAGTCAGCTCTTTGTTTGCATGTGGTAACACTGACTTAGTCAGCATCTTTCAGCTCTCAATCTATCCAAGAACAGAGTGGGCTGGGAGAGCTGAGCTTAGATCCTTTGTCATCCAAGAAGGTTTGAGCCCTGCTGTTCCCAAATGAGTCCCCTCTGTGTCAAACATGCTCGATATTTGCAATGCATAGCAGATCCTGCAGATCCCTTTAACAGGTTTTCTGTGAGGCCACTACCTGATGTACTATGGTTTGTGACAAATCGTTGTCAAATGGGAGCCAGAAAATATAAGAAAATTCCCTTCTCTGCTCCAAAAATTTACAGGGCTAATTGCCATTTATTTAACTCCCATAGGAGCATTACAGGCTTTGGTTCACTGTCTTTGCTATTTTGCAACTTGAGCTCTCTTCAAAGCCCAGCACTCAGACAAACTGGGAGGTGCACAGTTATTTTGTCAAAGCTGAGGTTCCCCTTTGAAAGAAGGCAACAATACCTCCTTGACTGCATCACAATTCTGCTTGTTTTTCTTTCGTTCTTGGTAATATTCCCACCATCTGAGACCCACTACCACAGAGTTCAAACACTGACTTCTGTGGCTAGGAAAATGTAAATTTTGTAACATGAGAATGAGCCTCTCTATAATTTTAGTGTCTTCAGTGCCTTAGGTGTCTCTGCATCACCTTTTTAAGTGAGAACTGTTTAAGGTTATTATGTAATCCTCTTAACTGAAGACAGAAAGTAGTTTTTCAGGTTATTTGATGGTCTAAGTTAATTTCAGATGTACTGTACTTATATTTACCACCATTTTGCTGTTGGGAAAACAGTTGTGTAACCATCCCCTTAATACAATCAAAGAAGCCAAATGTTCGTATGAGGAGAAAGTAGAGTTACTCTCTCAGAAAGCCAAGTTCACCATGGTAGCACCTGTTCGTCTGGCCCTGCCTCGCGGCTCAGACAGCAGTCACAGTAGAGGACAGAGCTTGGTGTAATGTCAACACACAGATGGTGGTGAAGAGCCCTCATGCAGACATACAGATGGCACCTTAATAAAATATACCAGTCCACCCACTTTTTTCTTTTCCTCTAGGCCATGAAAAACATTCAGACTGAGGAGGCCTGGGTGAACTACGCCAATGGAGTTGTCCATTTGCACACAGTACAACAATGGTTCCCACCGTGTCTCTGCATGCCACGGATGTCTTTGTCAGCTGTTTGCTTTCCAGGCCACAGTATCAGCACTATAGTATCACCTATGATTGGGAACCAGCCCCAGAATACGTTCTCTCAACTCTAACAGGCAGTCAGGCAAGGAGGAGTCCTGACATAACTCCCTCTGCCATGGCTTTATGTTTCTTGAAGCAGGATGATAGTAAATGGGAGTGCTGTACACCAGGTTGAGTTACGGGAAAATACATTTCCAAAGATTTCTGCCAGGCAGCACTACAATCGTGCCAAGAAAATGTAAGGCAGTCACAGATTTCACTGCTACAACTTGGCTGCCCAAAGAACTAATAATTTAATTGACCTGAAAAGCTGAATGCTCTCTGCTTCTATGAGACATGATTACACATATCTGCTGTAGAAGGTAA